ACACCACACACACCTAGGTCAGGTGACACCACACACCTAGGTCAGGTGACACCACACACACCTAGGTCAGGTGACACCATACACACCTAGGTCAGGTGACATCACACACACCTAGGTCAGGTGACACCATACACACCTAGGTCAGGTGACACCACACACACCTAGGTCAGGTGACACCACACACACCTAGGTCAGATGACACCATACACACCTAGGTCAGGTGACACCATACACACCTAGGTCAGGTGACACCATACACACCTAGGTCAGGTGACATCACACACACCTAGGTCAGGTGACACCACACACACCTAGGTCAGGTGACATCACACACACCTAGGTCAGGCGACACCACACACACCTAGGTAAGGTGACACCATACACACCTAGGTCAGGTGACACCACACACACCTAGGTCAGGTGACACCACACACACCTAGGTCAGGTGACACCACACACACGTTGAGTCAGGTGACACCACACACACCTAGGTCAGGTGACACCACACACACCTAGGTCAGGTGACACCATACACACCTAGGTCAGGTGACACCACACATACCTAGGTCAGGTGACACCACACACTTTGAGTCAGGTGAAATCACACACACGTTGAGTCAGGTGACACCACACACACCTAGGTCAGGTGACACCACACACACCTAGGTCAGGTGACACCACACACACGTTGAGTCAGGTGACACCACACACATCTAGGTCAGGTGACACCACACACATCTAGGTCAGGAGACACCACACACACCTAGGTCAGGTGACACCACACACACCTAGGTCAGGTGACACCACACACACCTAGGTCAGGTGACACCACACACACCTAGGTCAGGTGACACCACACACATCTAGGTCAGGAGACACCACACACACCTAGGTCAGGTGACACCACACACACCTAGGTCAGGTGACACCATACACACCTAGGTCAGGTGACACCACACATACCTAGGTCAGGTTACACCACACACTTTGAGTCAGGTGACACCACACACACGTTAAGTCAGGTGACACCACACACACCTGGGATCATTTAATACTTCTGCTTTTTTAATTTTTAATTTTGTTTTTTATCTTATAAATTCGTTCATTGAAATTTTATAATACTAGTTGTAAACCGTTTTTCATGTTTACTTCTTATTGTAATAACAATTTAATCTGATTAGGGTTAATGTTATAGATTCTTGTAATGATAATGTCTACTCTCCTACTTCTGTTACCGAACAATTTAACACAGTCTTTACTATTTAATTACCATAAAGTTAGTACTGTTGAGGCCGCTGATTTTTACAAGCTTTTATTTAACTCACTTTCTCTGTCGTCAGTCGTCAGTCGTCAGTCTAGATCGAAACGCAGGAGTGAAAATTCGGACAGTTCTACTTGACCGATTAGATTCACAGTTGGCACATGGGTCAAGACATAAAGACAATGCAATCTGAAACTAAATTTGACTTAATTGGATGCCTAATTAATTTTTTATGAGTTAATTAAAATTTTTTACAAGCTTTTATTTAACTCACTTCCTCTGTCCTCAGTCGTCAGTCTAGATCGAAACGCAGGAGTGAAAATTCGGACAGTTCTACTTGACCGATACGATTCACAGTTGGCACGTGGGTGAAGACATGAAGACAATGCAATCTGAAACTAAATTTGACTTAATTGGATGCCTAATTAATTTTTTATGAATTAATTAAAATTTGGACCGAATTAGTAGGCATGTCTATCCAACCACACCACACGCGTCATCACGTTCAATAGCTGCGCCATCAGGTTCAATAGCTGCGCCATCACGTTCAATAGACGCGCAATGATTTTTAGTCATGTAACACTATTGTAAATAAAACATGTAAAGTACTGAAAAAAAATTCATAAAAAAACGTTTTAATAACAAGCTTTTACGTACTAATGCACTAAAAAGTAGAAAATAAATTATACACTACTATTTAAATTACTATAAAGAAAAGCGTGGGTCTCTTCTCAAATATTAGTAAAGGTATCCAATAGGTACTAAAGTACTAAAGTGACCCCCCGAACGAAATGGAATATATATAGAAAATATATACTTTTGACAGTGTCCGCCCCCCCCCCCGGAAATTGTTGTCCGCCCCCCCCCCCCCACCCGAAAATTTCAAGTGCACCCCCGGAGAAAAAAGTCTGGAAGAAACTCTGATGGTGCAGTTTTGAGTTTGGTAGATGTGGGATAAATCAGAGTAGGGAGAAAGTAGGTGTGCAGCTAAAGTTGGTGGCGGTGTGAGGAAACTGTTGGATGAGAATGTTTAGAGACTTTTCATTTTTAATAGGAAAGGTTTTCAAATTCAATCTTGTAGTTAGAACCTGAGGTGGAGAAAATATTTTTAGAAACATGACATAGAAAAATGTATATGCTGAGTATTAATTAAATTGTTTTAGTTTGGATAAAAACGTAATAATTCTTCGAGCTTTAGTGGCATTGTTTTTATAGTGAAATACCATAAAAACAGCGAACTATTGCAACACAAGAAGAGATTAAAGGAGGTCAACACTGGAGTTTTCGTTAAATGAGAACACACAAAGACACACACACACACACATATATATATATATATATATATATATATATATATATATATATATATATATATATATATATATATATATATATATATATATATATATATATATATATATATATATTGCTGACCACACTATTCCTACTATTCCTTCATATACTGAGGTCTCTGAAGCAGATGAACACTACTTCACCTACCTTATGTGTCCATGTATATACATACATATAAACAACAGTCCCTGTAGTGGAAACTTTGCTAGCGTGTGAGCCAAAATTTGAATAGAAAACATCTAAAGCGCCATCTAAATACAGAAAAACATCTATATTCATATAACTCTGACAGTGTAAATGTTACATCTTTCGTTTAAAATCACTTGAAACGACGTAGACATTTGAAGATTTACAGCATTTTAAAGATTATTAACGTTAAAATAGATTCATATATAAATTAATTTTCTTTAGATTTATATATATATATATATATATATATATATATATATATATATATATATATATATATATATATATATATATATATATATATATATATATATATATAAAGAGAAAAAGAGAGAGAAACCGTTTGCTTACTTAGTGATCGAAAATCAATGGGTTCCTCGTAGCGACACACCCCTGAAATATTTGTGCGCTGTTCATGCCGCGTTGAGCCAAACAACACTAAATACCTGTCTAGTTGTTGTTCCTTACAACAACATTTTAATGTCTAGTTGTTGTACCTTACAACAACATTTAAATGTCTAGTTGTTGTACCTTACAACAACATTTAAATGTCTAGTTGTTGTTCCTTACAACAACATTTTAATGTCTAGTTGTTGTACCTTACAGCAACATGTAAATGCCTAGTTGTTGTACCTTACAACAACATTTTAATGTCTAGTTGTTGTACCTTACAACAACATTTAAATGTCTAGTTGTTGTACCTTACAACAACATTTAAATGCCTAGTTGTTGTACCTTACAACAACATTTAAATGTCTAGTTCTTGTACCTTACAGCAACATGTAAATGCCTAGTTGTTGTACCTTACAACAACATTTAAATGTCTAGTTGTTGTACCTTACAACAACATTTAAATGTCTAGTTGTTGTACCTTACAACAACATTTAAATGTCTAGTTGTTGTACCTTACAACAACATTTAAATGTCTAGTTGTTGTACCTTACAACAACATTTAAATGTCTAGTTGTTGTACCTTACAACAACATTTAAATGTCTAGTTGTTGTACCTTACAACAACATTTAAATGTCTAGTTGTTGTACCTTACAACAACATTTAAATGTCTAGTTGTTGTACCTTACAACAACATTTAAATGTCTAGTTGTTGTACCTTACAACAACATTTAAATGTCTAGTTGTTGTACCTTACAACAACATTTAAATGTCTAGTTGTTGTACCTTACAACAACATTTAAATGTCTAGTTGTTGTACCTTACAACAACATTTAAATGTCTAGTTGTTGTACCTTACAACAACATTTAAATGTCTAGTTGTTGAGCTATACATCAAAATATAAATGTCTAGTTGTTGGGCCATACAAGAACATATAGATGACCAATTGCAATCGAGCTAGCCATAAAAATGGCCGCTTTTGTAATGATTGATTGAGTCCATGAGACAATTTTTGGCCCAGAGTTTTTTGCCATTAGGGCCTTTTATTTAATCCAATTCGGAAGCTGTTCTTTGTTTTTATAAAGCTTTCGAGGAAGTTTCCTTGGCAACCAGTTTTTAAAAAAGTGCAATTTGTGTATTTCAAGGCATCGAAGAGCTTTAGAGGTCCGTAGCAGTGGTCATCCAATGCTATCTGACAGGTGACGTCATCCAATGCTATCTGGCAGGCGACAATGGTCCCCTTATGAATGTCTAGGTGACCTCGATCCCCCGCCCCATTTTAAACTGTCGTGTATAGATTCAAATGAGCACGTTCATTTTTTGTGTTATCATTTTAAACTGTCATGTATAGATTCAAATGAGCACGTTCATTTTTTGTGTTATCCTTTTAAACTGTCGTGTATAGATTCAAATAAGCACGTTCATTGTTTGTGTTATCATTTTAAACTGTCGTGTATAGATTCAAATGAGCACGTTCATTGTTTGTGTTATCATTTTAAACTGTCGTGTATAGATTCAAATGAGCACGTTCATTGTTTGTGTTATCATTTTAAACTGTCGTGTATAGATTCAAATGAGCACGTTCATTGTTTGTGTTATCCTTTTAAACTGTCATGTATAGATCCAAATGAGCACGTTCATTGTTTGTGTTATCATTTTATTTTACTTGCTGATAGATCCAAATATTTCTTTCCATGAAATTTGAAATTTAATTTCAGCAGCTTATAGACATTCCTTGCTTTACCAAATAAAATAAAAAATGTTCTTAATCCAATTAAAAAGGTCCTTTTTACATTCTTCAACAGCTCATTAAGACATGGGCGTCTGGTGGAAGACAGAGGCCGCAGAGGCGCCCGGATTCGTTCCTGGAACGTTTTGCTATGGGCGGCAAGGATATCCCTGTCCACAGCGGGGAGAGAAGGCAAAGGAAAATATCCGATCTCAGGTTAGTCAAAACATGTCCGACCTAAGCTCAGTCCACTATCTGTTGTCCACTATTTTATTATCCCACGCCAAAAAAAAACACACACCATAAAATAGTATGTCCAGACTAACAAAAGTGTTCAATATGTTGTATTCGGTTTATATAAGTTAAACAGAGTGGAAAATAATGCAGTATTCAATATATTCAAGGTGTATATATATATATATATATATATATATATATATATATATATATATATATACACATATATATATATATATATATATATATATATATATATATATATATATATATATATATATATATATAAATCACCAAGTAAAACGTTACTATTCAATCAGTTGTTGGATAACTTGTTTTTTTAAATATCTAAACTATTGAACATTTTCATCCTACTGAATGTAATAAAAGCCAACTATCAGAGGCTGCGCTGGAAGAAAAACTGAACCACCGAGTAACAAGGTTGTACATTAGATGGTAATTTACATGTTAGGTACTTACTTGGCTACTGGTTCACTCAATATGCTCGCCTTCACTCTGTAGTAGATTCAGCTGTGTATAATGGTCAAGTTGTAGGACAAGCAGTTCACTTCACTCGTAGATTCAGTTGTGTATATGGTCGTGTTGAAAAAAAATATGTTTCTTACCCTACCACCACCGCCCCTTTTGAGTACAAAAACGTATTCATATTTACACAAATTTGCATTTTGCTGTTTTACAGTCTCACAAAAAGATGTACTGATAAAACGCAAAACTATAAATCAAAGTTGAAGATCATTTTATTATATTCGAAACTGTGTTTTGTTAATTGTGTTATAGATCTACTGTTTAATAGTTTCATTTGGCTTTTATGTATTATTATTAATTGGTATTGTAGTAATGTATACGTTGGGTATTATTTTTTTAAAGATTCGTTTTTATTTTTAGTATTTACAGTTTCGGGGATGATTATCTTAATACTTTATTTTAATACTTTTTTAAAAATGTCATAACATTTTATTTTTGTATCTATGGTTTTTTTTCTTCATGAAAATAAGTCCGTCAGTCCAACATAGCATCTCTCAATATTTAATTGGCTTTAATTTAATTGAAAGCATTATTTTTTCAACTGAAATTAATTTGCCCAAAGGAGATAATTTAATTAAGCAAACATTGTTTGTGGATTACAATTTGCAAATGGCTGTTTAACCTTCGCTTCGGCCTTAACTTGAGGGCATGAGTCAGCTGTTTCTTGTTTTTAAATACGTCTCACTGCATGTCTAGAGGTTAGACGATAAACCTGTAGCAGTTTATGGATTAGCTTGTCCAGTAGAAATATATAAAATTGGTTCATTTCAGGGTCATATTTGTGATTTGTGACTCGAAATATTGACAACATTTCTCAGTTTAGAACATTAAAGTGTCTATGAAAAATTATATCCTAAAATTTGTTTCTTTTAATTTCTAAATGTGTGTTATACATTTTTTTGTTTAAATAAGATTTTTTCATAACTACTTGGTACTCTTAAAAATGCGATTATATATAGTAAATATGCTGACAGAGTTTCTTCCCGACATCCATAGGGTAGGGGGCGTGGGAGTGAGGGAGGGGCCTTCCAGAAAAAATCTATTCCACCCACGAGGAAAATTCTGGAAGCAACATTGCATGTTGATATGCTAAAACTCAAACGTTGTATTAATGATCAGAAAACGGCAAATAACAGGACAACACAAACTGGGAATAATTTAAACAATAGGTCTATATGTTATTTGACTGAGTAGGTAAGTGGTGTGTTAGGAGACGTCGAGAGTTGGAAGTTCTGCGAGTTTTTATGTGGCGTATACAGCTAAATAACCATTGGCTAAGTTTTATCTATCCGTATGAAATAAAATACACATCAACTAGATGTATGTAGCTAAAGTTAATATCAACTAGATGTATGTGGCTAAAGTTAACACTAGTTAGATGTATGTGTCTAAAGTTAACATTAGTTAGATGTATGTGGCTAAAGTTAACATTAGTTAGATGTATGTGTCTAAAGTTAACATCAACTAGATGTATGTGGCTAAAGTTAACATCAACTAGATGTATGTGGCTAAAGTTAACACTAGTTAGATGTATGTGTCTAAAGTTAACATTAGTTAGGTGTATGTACGTAGACCTGAACTGTGTAGCACAATTTTAGTCGACTCTCCTCAGATAAATGTATTAGCCCTGTCTCTTGGAGCATTGTATACATGCAGCGCATTTAAATTACGTTTCTTGACCACAAACCCATTTCCTAAACGAAACGATATCAATACGGCTTCCTTCAACTAATTCACCGCTGAATAATATCGATCTCGTCCCATTAGACTAAATTACTTTTCTTTTATAGGAAACCGAAACATATTGAAAAATCAATGTTGAAATAAGGTTATCAAACTGCTGAACCATCAGTCGTAGTTAAAGTGTGTGTCCGTTTCTGATATTTTCTTTAACCATTTCAAGGGCTCCAATACAATTTTATATAGCAACTACAGCCTTTTCTGGAACCTCTATCAATATGGCTCTGTTTTACTAAATTATCTCTGTCGAGTCCTTGGGGAATGAGGGAATAAATGTGCATAGAGACAAAGGGCAACAATCCATCCCTTGCCCCGAGCTAGTGTGCTAATTATTTGGGCTTGGATGTTTGGAGAATCCTTATTGCTTTCATTTTTACAGAGAGAAACAATAAATGCTCCTTCAATAAACAGAACTACTCTGCATACGTGACATGTACTGCTAGGCTACAAAGTACATTTACTTTCAACTAACATGTGCCGCTTATAGGCCTTTATCTTTTACTGACATCCATACATACACACACGCACGTATGTGTATGTATGCAGATATATTTGTATATTTGTATATATATATATATATATATATATATATATATATATATATATATATATATATATATATATATATATATATATATATATATATATAGCTATCTATCTCTTTCTCTCTCTCTCCCATCACTCTCTCTCTGACTTTCTCTCTCTCTCTCTCGATATATATATATATATATGTATATATATATATATATATATATATATATATATATATTATATTCTATTTATATATATATATATATATATATATATATATATATATATATATATATATATATATATATATATATATATATATATATATATATATATATATATATATATATATATATATATATATATATATATATATATATATATATATATATATATATATATATATATATGTATATATATATATTTATATATATATATATATATATTATATATATATATATATATTTATATAAACAATGTTTATATATATATAAATATATATATACATTTATATATATATATATATATATATATATATATATATATATATATATATATATATATCGTAATTCTACAAGGATTTTTATCCCCTAGAGAAGCAAGCATCGATCCCTGATGTTTTATGATGTGTTGGGAAATGCAGATAGTGTTATTTAAAAGTCATAGATCTCTCAGAGTCATTGATCCTTGGGACATGGGAGAGTGAGGATTTGTTGTGTCGGCCATCTTTCAGCGATCTGATCTTATTTTGGTTCAAATGTCTGTACTGACCTTTTAACCACGAGGTACGGGGGGAGGGGGAGGGGCACGATTAACACAAGGTTTTTATGTGGGTCGTTTACTTGGTTTAACACATGCCGTCACAGTCGCACGGCTAAAATCACATGCCGGCACAGTCGCACGGCTGAAATCGATCTGCTGAAAGACGACGTTAAAACTGGTGCTAGCTGAAGGCCCGAATAATGTTTACAGCTTTAAACTGGTGCTAGCTGAAGGCCCGAATAATGTTTACAGCTTTAAACTGGTGCTAGCTGAAGGCCCGAATAATGTTTACAGCTTTAAACTGGTGCTAGCTGAAGGCCCGAATAATGTTTACAGCTTTAAACTGGTGCTAGCTGAAGGCCCGAATAATCAACTCTTACTTGAAGTCGTCTGTCTCTCTTTTAAGTGGTCAATATTTTCTAAATCTTCAACTTTACATATTGCTAAATAATCTCTCATACTTCACATATTCCTGTCATCTATCCTACTTTACATATTTCTATCATTATCCTACTTCACATATTTTTTACATTTCTCCTATGTCACATATTCCTGTCATCTATCCTACTTCACACATTGCTATCATCTATCCTACTTCACATATCATTACTTCAGATTTTCATGTCATCCATCCTACTTCATAAATTACTGACATCTATCCTACTTCATAAATTACTGCCATCTATCCTACTTCATAAATTACTGACATCTATCCTACTTCATAAATTACTGCCATCTATCCTACTTCACATATTTTTGACATTTCTCATACTTCACATATTACTGCCATCCATCCTACTTCACATATTACTGCCATCTATCCTACTTCATAAATTACTGCCATCTATCCTACTTCATAAATTACTGCCATCTATCCTACTTCATAAATTACTGCCATCTATCCTACTTCATAAATTACTGCCATCTATCCTACTTCACATATTTTTGACATTTCTCATACTTCACATATTACTGCCATCTATCCTACTTCACATATTACTGCCATCTATCCTACTTCATAAATTACTGCCATCTATCCTACTTCATAAATTACTGCCATCTATCCTACTTCACATATTTTTGACATTTCTCATACTTCACATATTACTGCCATCTATCCTACTTCACATATTTTTGACATTTCTCATACTTCACATATTACTGCCATCTATCCTTTTTCACATATTTTTGAGATTTCTCCTACTCCACATCTATCCCATGCACTATGTGGAACTACGTTTGTTATAGTAGGTTGCGCCCATGAATCTACATTTACTTACATTGTAACACTCACGTTGATTTGAAATTTCGCTAGATAATCCATAGACCACTTTAATTGAAGCTGGGGAATTATTGTGATTTTTGGTGGGTTTTGAGATTCTATGAATATTTAGTCGTTTTGGGGGGTAATACTTAGGTTTGTTGGATTTATAAGGTGATTAAATCAACAGGAAAATGTGCTTATCTGGAAGTTTTTGTTATTGGTGTTAGTTTGGGGGGGGGGGGGGGGGAAGGGGGCTTAAGTGATTTAGAAAAAATAGTTTTCCTAAACTGTTGTGAATGTAGAAGATTGTTGTGATTTTGATATTTAAAAAAATAAAACAACCATGATGATAATGTTATTGTGTATCTATTTAAGCTGTGTCTAAATATACTTGTTAGTCTCTTGTAATATATGTCTAGATGACTTCGTCACTTTTTATTTGTATTTCTATGCCAATGTAAGATTGTTTAAATCTCCATAAATTGTGTGTGTCTACTAACTCTCTCTGTATGCCCATGTTTGATTGTGTATTTACCCATCAATCTTGTCTACGTCTTCTAACTCTCTCTGTATGCCCATGTTTGATTGTGTATTTACCCATCAATCGTGTCTACGTCTTCTAACTCTCTCTGTATGCCCATGTTTGATTGTGTATTTACCCATCAATCGTGTCTACGTCTTCTAACTCTCTCTGTATGCCCATGTTTGATTGTGTATTTACCCATCAATTTTGTCTACGTCTTCTAACTTTCTCTGTATGCCCATGTTTGATTGTGTATTTACCCATCAATCTTGTCTACGTCTTCTTACTCTCTCTGTATGCCCATGTTTGATTGTGTATTTACCCATCGACCGTGTCTACGTCTTCTAACTCTCTCTGTATGCCCATGTTTGATTGTGTATTTACCCATCAATCGTGTCTACGTCTTCTAACTATCTCTGTATGCCCATGTTTGATTGTGTATTTACCCATCAATCTTGTCTACGTCTTCTAACTCTCTCTGTATGCCCATGTTTGATTGTGTATTTACCCATCAATCGTGTCTACGTCTTCTAACTCTCTCTGTATGCCCATGTTTGATTGTTTATTTACCCATCAATCTTGTCTACGTCTTCTAACTCTCTCTGTATGCCCATGTTTGATTGTGTATTTACCCATCAATCTTGTCTACGTCTTCTAACTCTCTCTGTATGCCCATGTTTGATTGTGTATTTACCCATCAATCTTGTCTACGTCTTCTAACTATCTCTGTATGCCCATGTTTGATTGTGTATTTACCCATCAATCTTGTCTACGTCTTCTAACTCCCTCTGTATGCCCATGTTTGATTGTGTATTTACTCATCAACCGTGTCTACGTCTTCTAACTCTCTCTGTATGCCTATGTTTGATTGTGTATTTACTCATCAACCGTGTCTACGTCTTCTAACTCTCTCTGTATGCCCATGTTTGATTGTGTATTTACCCATCAATTTTGTCTACGTCTTCTAACTCCCTCTGTATGCCCATGTTTGATTGTGTATTTACTCATCAACCGTGTCTACGTCTTCTAACTCTCTCTGTATGCCCATGTTTGATTGTGTATTTACTCATCAACCGTGTCTACGTCTTCTAACTCTCTCTGTATGCCCAAGTTTGATTGTGTATTTACTCATCAACCGTGTCTACGTCTTCTAACTCTCTCTGTATGCCCATGTTTGATTGTGTATTTACCCATCAATTTTGTCTACGTCTTCTAACTCCCTGTGTATGCCCATGTTTGATTGTGTATTTACTCATCAACCGTGTCTACGTCTTCTAACTCTCTCTGTATGCCCATGTTTGATTGTGTATTTACTCATCAACCGTGTCTACGTCTTCTAACTCTCTCTGTATGCCCATGTTTGATTGTGTATTTACTCATCAACCGTGTCTGCGTCTTCTAACTCTCTCTGTATGCCCATATTTGATTGTGTATTTACTCATCAACCGTGTCTACGTCTTCTAACTCTCTCTGTATGCCCATGTTTGATTGTGTATTTACCCATCAACCGTGTCTACGTCTTCTAACTCTCTCTGTATGCCCATGTTTGATTGTGTATTTACCCATCAATTTTGTCTACGTCTTCTAACTCCCTCTGTATGCCCATGTTTGATTGTGTATTTACTCATCAACCGTGTCTACGTCTTCTAACTCTCTCTGTATGCCCATGTTTGATTGTGTATTTACTCATCAACCGTGTCTACGTCTTCTAACTCTCTCTGTATGCCCAAGTTTGATTGTGTATTTACTCATCAACCGTGTCTACGTCTTCTAACTCTCTCTGTATGCCCATGTTTGATTGTGTATTTACCCATCAATTTTGTCTACGTCTTCTAACTCCCTGTGTATGCCCATGTTTGATTGTGTATTTACTCATCAACCGTGTCTACGTCTTCTAACTCTCTCTGTATGCCCATGTTTGATTGTGTATTTACTCATCAACCGTGTCTACGTCTTCTAACTCTCTCTGTATGCCCATGTTTGATTGTGTATTTACTCATCAACCGTGTCTGCGTCTTCTAACTCTCTCTGTATGCCCATATTTGATTGTGTATTTACTCATCAACCGTGTCTACGTCTTCTAACTATCTCTGTATGCCCATGTTTGATTGTGTATTTACCCATCAATCTTGTCTACGTCTTCTAACTCTCTCTGTATGCCCATGTTTGATTGTGTATTTACTCATCAACCGTGTCTACATCTTCTAACTCTCTCTGTATGCCCATGTTTGATTGTGTATTTACTCATCAACCGTGTCTACGTCTTCTAACTCTCTCTGTATGCCCATGTTTGATTGTGTATTTACTCATCAACCGTGTCTACGTCTTCTAACTCTCTCTGTATGCCCATGTTTGATTGTGTATTTATCCATCAATCTTGTCTACGTCTTCTAACTCTCTCTGTATGCCCATGTTTGATTGTGTATTTACTCATCAACCATGTCTACGTCTTCTAACTCTCTCTGTATGCCCATGTTTGATTGTGTATTTATCCATCAATCTTGTCTACGTCTTCTAACTCTCTCTGTATGCCCATGTTTGATTGTGTATTTACTCATCAACCGTGTCTACGTCTTCTAACTCTCTCTGTATGCCCATGTTTGATTGTGTATTTATCCATCAATCTTGTCTACGTCTTCTAACTCTCTCTGTATGCCCATGTTTGATTGTGTATTTACTCATCAACCGTGTCTACGTCTTCTAACTCCCGATGTATGCCCATGTTTGATTGTGTATTTACCCATCAATCTTGTCTACGTCTTCTAACTCTCTCTGTATGCCCATGTTTGATTGTGTATTTACTCATCAGCCGTGTCTACGTCTTCTAACTCTCTCTGTATGCCCATGTTTGATTGTGTATTTACCCATCAATCTTGTCTACGTCTTCTAACTCTCTCTGTATGCCCATGTTTGATTGTGTATTTACCCATCAACCGTGTCTACGTCTTCTAACTCTCTCTGTATGCCCATGTTTGATTGTGTATTTACTCATCAACCGTGTCTACGTCTTCTAACTCTACTTGTCTCTTGCAGGTACTGGACACATTTCTACGTGGACCCATCAGACTCCTTCTACTACCGCTGGCTTTTCGTCATCTCCATCGCCGTCCTTTACAACGTTGTTTTCATCATCGCTCGTTCAGTTTTCTGGGAACTCCAGAGCACATTCTTTATTCTTTGGCTGTCTCTTGATTACCTCAGTGACTTTATTTATGCTCTTGATATCTTCATTCAGTTCAGAACAGGTAAATCATTTCTTCCTTTCCTTTTCAAAACTATTGCATATTATAATCATAATTTATGGCTGTAACATCTATTGAACGTTTAATTATATTTAATTGTCGTATTAAACCAAAAATAAAAACACAAACCTATTCTCTTAGAATTGTGATAACAACTATCAATAACATACAGTTTATCATGAAAGCGTCATTGGCAGTAAAACAAAATATGAAGTTGCAATGCAGTCTTATAATAGTTATTTTATTAGATTATGTTGACGTCCACACGCGAAATTTAGCACTAAATTTTTTGTATAACTCACACGACATTAGTAATTTGCAAAGAAAATATATGCCAGTTCCAGTATTAAATGAAAGCTACTTTAGCAGGTAATTAACTCGCTTTATAACGTGGTACCTGTGCACGTACAGAAAATGATTATTGGAAACCTTTTTTGTTGACAAATATAAAGAGCTTGTATGATATGTTAAAACAAATATTAAACAAAATAATACAAGCGCTCATCATATATTAAACATATATTAAATATCAGAGAACATTTAACACATTCCAATTTTGTACATTTTACATTTTAAACAAATATTTCGTGTAAAAAAAATATGCCGTGTAAAATTTTTTAGCACTGAAACAATTTATTTAATCATTAGGAATTGCATTTGAATTTTTTTTTGTAAAACACTATTACATTTTATCAAGTACCGCTACATGGGTTAGACGTACACACTGATTTTTGCGTTAGTTTTAGAAGTACAATGATTTGTGTGTTAGACGTACACACTGATTTGTGTGTTAGACGTACACATTGATTTGTGTGTTGGACGTACACATTGATTTGTGTGTTAGACGTACACACTGATTTGTGTGTTAGACGTACACACTGATTTGTGTGTTAGACGTACACACTGATTTGTGTGTTAGACGTACACACTGATTTGTGTGTTAGACGTACACATTGATTTGTGTGTTAGACGAACACATTGATTTGTGTGTTAGACGTACACACTGATTTGTGTGTTAGACGTACACACTGATTTGTGTGTTAGACGTACACACTGATTTGTGTGTTAGACGTACACACTGATTTGTGTGTGAGTATTGAAAGCTAGCTTTAATTTTAACGAAAAAAAACATCAAATTCTTAGATTTAAATAGAAAACGTTTTGCCAGAAAAGACCTTCCTCACAAATAAAGATGTGTCTAGTGTTAAAGTAATGTCGAAACATATCAACAATTTATAACTAGCATAACAAAAGTACGTAGCATATCTTGGGGCTACAGGTCAACTCAATTTAACTACCATGATCCTTAAAGTTGTGCGTCATCCGGCATTGAATAACCCCTGTACGCCATAGCCCATGTTTCTAAGCAAATCAAAATCCAATGTCATTACGTTCATTACATTTCCCTATTTATCTAAGGGAGAGCACAGCACTGATGTAGCTCTGCTTAATGTTACGGTGATTTGGAGCAGGCTTCCCTTGTAACAACGTAATGGAGGAATTCACCCAAAACGTTAATCACTGTTAGCAGTTAAGGCGCTAAAAGGCTCGCTCTCACGTGCCATAGCCTAGTAAAGAGTTACTTTAAGCCCCGCCCCTATTTATTAACGCTGACAGCATCAAACATTAGAGGAGACACAAATACTGACTCACACATCATTAAACATTAGAGACACAAATACTGACTCACAAGTCATCAAACATTAGAGGAGACACAAATACTGACTCACACATCATCAAACATTAGAGGAGACAAATACTGACTCACAAGTCATCATACATTAGAGACACAAATACTGACTCACAAGTCATCAAACATTAGAGGAGACACAAATACTGACTCACACATCATCAAACATTAGAGGAGACACAAATACTGACTCACACGTCATCAAACATTAGAGGAGACACAAATACTGACTCACAAGTCATCAAACATTAGAGAAGACACAAATACTGACTCACACATCATTAAACATTAGAGACACATATACTGACTCACAAGTCATCAAACATTAGAGGAGACACAAATACTGACTCACAAGTCATCATACATTAGAGACACAAATACTGACTCACAAGTCATCAAACATTAGAGGAGACACAAATACTGACTCACACATCATCAAACATTAGAGAAGACACAAATACTGACTCACACGTCATCAAACATTAGAGGAGACACAAATACTGACTCACACATCATTAAACATTAGAGACACAAATACTGACTCACAAGTCATCAAACATTAGAGGAGACACAAATACTGACTCACAAGTCATCATACATTAGAGACACAAATACTGACTCACAAGTCATCAAACATTAGAGAAGACACAAATACTGACTCACACATCATTAAACATTAGAGACACAAATACTGACTCACAAGTCATCAAACGTTAGAGGAGACACAAATACTGACTCACAAGTCATCATACATTAGAGACACAAATACTGACTCACAAGTCATCAAACATTAGAGAAGACACAAATACTGACTCACACATCATCAAACATTAGAGAAGACACAAATACTGACTCACAAGTCATCAAACATTAGAGGAGACACAAATACTGACTCACACATCATCAAACATTAGAGGAGACACAAATACTGACTCACACGTCATCAAACATTAGAGGAGACACAAATATTGACTCACAAGTCATCAAACATTAGAGACACAAATACTGACTCACAAGTCATCAAACATTAGAGGAGACACAAATACTGACTCACAAGTCATCAAACATTAGAGGAGACACAAATACTGACTCACAAGTCATCAACATTAGAGAAGACACAAATACTGACTCACAAGTCATCAAACATTAGAGAAGACACAAATACTGACTCATAAGTCATCAAACATTAGAGGAGACACAAATACTGACTCACAAGTCATCAAACATTAGAGAAGACACAAATACTGACTCACACATCATCATACATTAGAGACACAAATACTGACTCACAAGTCATCAAACATTAGAGACACAAATACTGACTCACAAGTCATCAAACATTGGAGGAGACACAAATACTGACTCACAAGTCATCAAACATTAGAGGAGACACAAATACTGACTCACACGTCATCAAACATTAGAGAAGACACAAATACTGACTCACACATCATCAAACATTAGAGGAGACACAAATACTGACTCACAAGTCATCAAACATTAGAGGAGACACAAATACTGACTGTAACATCATCAAACATTAGAGAAGACACAAATACTGACTCACACGTCATCAAACATTAGAGGAGACACAAATACTGACTCACACATCATCAAACATTAGAGGAGACACAAATACTGACTCAAACGTCATCAAACATTAGAGACACAAATACTGACTCACACATCATCAAACATTAGAGAAGACACAAATACTGACTCACAAGTCATCAAACATTAGAGAAGACACAAATACTGACTCACAAGTCATCAAACATTAGAGGAGACACAAATACTGACTCACACATCATCAAACATTAGAGACACAAATACTGACTCACACGTCATCAAACATTAGAGACACAAATACTGACTCACACATCATCAAACATTAGAGGAGACACAAATATTGACTCACAAGTCATCAAACATTAGAGACACAAATACTGACTCACAAGTCATCAAACATAAGAGGAGACACAAATACTGACTCACACATCATCAAACATAAGAGGAGACACAAATATTGACTCACATATCATCAAACATTAGACGAGACACAAATACTGACTCACAAGTCATCAAACATTAGAGAAGACACAAATACTGACTCACACATCATCAAACATTAGAGGAGACACAAATACTGACTCACACATCATCAAACATTAGAGACACAAATACTGACTCACAAGTCATCAAACATTAGAGACACAAATACTGACTCACAAGTCATCATACATTAGAGACACAAATACTGACTCACACATCATCAAACATTAGAGGAGACACAAATACTGACTCACAAGTCATCATACATTAGAGACACAAATACTGACTCACAAGTCATCAAACATTAGAGACACAAATACTGACTCACACGTCATCAAACATTAGAGGAGACACAAATACTGACTCACAAGTCATCAAACATTAGAGAAGACACAAATACTGACTCACACGTCATCAAACATTAGTGGAGACACAAATACTGACTCACACGTCATCAAACATTAGAGACACAAATACTGACTCACACGTCATCAAACATAAGAGGAGACACAAATACTGACTCACACGTCATCAAACATTAGAGGAGACACAAATACTGACTCACAAGTCATCAAACATTAGAGGAGACACAAATACTGACTCACAAGTCATCAAACAGTAGAGACACAAATACTGATTCACAAGTCATCAAACATTAGAGGAGACACAAATACTGACTCACACGTCATCAAACATTAGAGGAGACACAAATACTGACTCACAAGTCATCAAACATTAGAGGAGACACAAATACTGACTCACACGTCATCAAACATTAGAGGAGACACAAATACTGACTCACAAGTCATCATACATTAGAGATACAAATACTGACTCACAAGTCATCAAACATTAGAGGAGACACAAATACCGACTCACACATCATCAAACATTAGAGAAGACACAAATACTGACTCACAAGTCATCAAACATTAGAGACACCAATACTGACTCACACGTCATCAAACATTAGAGGAGACACAAATACTGACTCACACATCATCAAACATTAGAGGAGACACAAATACTGACTCACAAGTCATCAAACATTAGAGGAGACACAAATACTGACTCACACGTCATCAAACATTAGAGGAGACACAAATACTGACTCACACATCATCAAACATTAGAGGAGACACAAATACTGACTCACAAGTCATCATACATTAGAGACACAAATACTGACTCACAAGTCATCAAACATTAGAGGAGACACAAATACTGACTCACACATCATCAAACATTAGAGGAGACACAAATACTGACTCACACATCATCAAACATTAGAGAAGACACAAATACTGACTCACACATCATCAAACATTAGAGAAGACACAAATACTGACTCACAAGTCATCAAACATTAGAGAAGACACAAATACTGACTCACACGTCATCAAACATTAGAGGAGACACAAATACTGACTCACACATCATCAAACATTAGAGACACAAATACTGACTCACATATCATCAAACATTAGAGAAGACACAAATACTGACTCACAAGTCATCAAACATTAGAGAAGACACAAATACTGACTCACACATCAGCAAACATTAGAGACACAAATACTGACTCACACATCATCAAACATTAGAGGAGACACAAATACTGACTCACACGTCATCAAACATTAGAGACACAAATACTGACTCACACGTCATCAAACATTAGAGGAGACACAAAAACTGACTCACAAGTCATCAAACATTAGAGGAGACACAAATACTGACTCACAAGTCATCAAACATTAGAGGAGACACAAATACTGACTCACACATCATCAAACATTAGAGACACAAATACTGACTCACACATCATCAAACATTAGAGGAGACACAAAAACTGACTCACAAGTCATCAAACATTAGAGGAGACACAAATACTGACTCACAAGTCATCAAACATTAGAGGAGACACAAATACTGACTCACAAGTCATCAAACATTAGAGGAGACACAAATACTGACTCACAAGTCATCAAACATTAGAGGAGACACAAATACTGACTCACACGTCATCAAACATTAGAGACACAAATACTGACTCACACGTCATCAAACATAAGAGGAGACACAAATACTGACTCACAAGTCATCAAACATTAGAGGAGACACAAATACTGACTCACACGTCATCAAACATTAGAGACACAAATACTGACTCACACGTCATCAAACATAAGAGGAGACACAAATACTGACTCACACGTCATCAAATATTAGAGGAGACACAAATACTGACTCACAAGTCATCAAACATTAGAGGAGACACAAATACTGACTCACAAGTCATCAAACATTAGAGGAGACACAAATACTGACTCACACGTCATCAAACATTAGAGACACAAATACTGACTCACACGTCATCAAACATAAGAGGAGACACAAATACTGACTCACACGTCATCAAACATTAGAGGAGACACAAATACTGACTCACAAGTCATCAAACATTAGAGGAGACACAAATACTGACTCACAAGTCATCAAACATTAGAGACACAAATACTGACTCACAAGTCATCAAACATTAGAGAAGACACAAATACTGACTCACACATCAGCAAACATTAGAGGAGACACAAATACTGACTCACAAGTCATCAAACATTAGAGGAGACACAAATACTGACTCACACATCATCAAACATTAGAGACACAAATACTGACTCACACGTCATCAAACATTAGAGAAGACACAAATACTGACTCACAAGTCATCAAACATTAGAGGAGACACAAATACTGACTCACAAGTCATCAAACATTAGAGGAGACACAAATACTGACTCACAAGTCATCAAACATTAGAGGAGACACAAATACTGACTCACAAGTCATCAAACATTAGAGGAGACACAAATACTGACTCACACGTCATCAAACATTAGAGGAGACACAAATACTGACTCACACGTCATCAAACATTAGAGGAGACACAAATACTGACTCACAAGTCATCAAACATTAGAGGAGACACAAATACTGACTCACAAGTCATCAAACATTAGAGACACAAATACTGACTCACACGTCATCAAACATTAGAGGAGACACAAATACTGACTCACACGTCATCAAACATTAGAGGAGACACAAATACTGACTCACACGTCATCAAACATTAGAGGAGACACAAATACTGACTCACAAGTCATCAAACATTAGAGGAGACACAAATACTGACTCACAAGTCATCAAACATTAGAGACACAAATACTGACTCACAAGTCATCAAACATTAGAGGAGACACAAATACTGACTCACACGTCATCAAACATTAGAGGAGACACAAATACTGACTCACACGTCATCAAACATTAGAGGAGACACAAATACTGACTCACAAGTCATCAAACATTAGAGAAGACACAAATACTGACTCACAAGTCATCAAACATTAGAGGAGACACAAATACTGACTCACAAGTCATCAAACATTAGAGAAGACACAAATACTGACTCACAAGTCATCAAACATTAGAGGAGACACAAATACTGACTCACACGTCATCAAACATTAGAGGAGACACCAATACTGACTCACACGTCATCAAACATTAGAGGAGACACAAATACTGACTCACAAGTCATCAAACATTAGAGAAGACACAAATACTGACTCACAAGTCATCAAACATTAGAGGAGACACAAATACTGACTCACAAGTCATCAAACATTAGAGACACAAATACTGACTCACAAGTCATCAAATATTAGAGGAGACACAAATACTGACTCACAAGTCATCAAACATTAGAGAAGACACAAATACTGACTCACAAGTCATCAAACATTAGAGGAGACACAAATACTGACTCACACGTCATCAAACATTAGAGACACAAATACTGACTCACAAGTCATCAAACATTAGAGGCGACACAAATACTGACTCACACGTCATCAAACATTAGAGGAGACACAAATACTGACTCACACGTCATCAAACATTAGAGGAGATATATGAAGCTACCCTAACATGAAACAGATACACACCAGAGCTAGGTGCAATCGGAGACGTCCTGCACTCCGTGTCGAGTCCAAGATGTGAACTCGAGTCCAAGATGTGAACTCGAGTCCAAGATGTGAACTCGAGTCCAAGATGTGAACTCGAGTCCAAGATGTGAACTCGAGTCCTTCAGAATAGAAGTCGATTACTCTAACAATCTATTCATTTATATACGTTTTGAGCTCTTTTAATTTTTATTTTAAAATTTTAAATGTAGATTCGTTTGTTATAATTCAATATTTTTATCAACGATTTCTTATATTTAATCTCTCAATGATGTCTAATAAATTAAACTATTAATTTCTTAAATAATAATCTATTGATTTTTTTAAATGTCGAATAACTTATAATACTAAAAATTTGAAAAAAATTAACCTAGTTATTTCATATTATATTATGTAATGGAATGGAATCTAATGATTTGTTTAAATTAATCTCTCCTAATTTCAGGTTACCTTGAGCAGGGACTAATGGTGGTTGATCCAGCTAAACTTAGGAAAAATTACTTGAAAACAAAAACATGCTACATCGATATTGCAAGTCTTCTTCCTACAGATTTGTTTTATTTCTTGAAAGGAGGATTAGACATCCCTTACGTCAGGTTCAACCGTTTATTACGGGTCCGTAGACTTCTGGAGTTTTTCGATCGGACCGAGACCCGCACAAGTTTTACAAACATGTTCCGCATTCTTCACCTCGTCCTGTACATTTTGATCATTATTCATTGGAATGCCTGTATATATTTTGCCATAAGCGCAGCTATAGGTTTTGGCTCTGACGGCTGGGTCTACGGGAACTTAACGGGACCCCAGAAGGGGCTAGCGAGGATGTATATTTACAGTTTCTACTGGTCGACCTTGACCCTGACCACCATTGGAGAAACCCCCCAGCCAGAGCGGGATATTGAATTTCTCTTCGTTGTTGTCGACTTCCTTATCGGTGTGCTCATCTTCGCTACCATCGTGGGCAATGTTGGTAGCATGATCACGAACATGAATGCAGCGCGCTCCGAGTTCCAGCAAAGAATGGATGGGGTCAAACAATACATGGAGTTTCGCAAGGTGAGCAAGGAGCTGGAAGAGCGGGTCATCAAGTGGTTTGATTATCTCTGGACCAACAAACAGTCTCTCAATGAAGAGGAAGTACTTTCAGCGCTTCCAGACAAACTCAAGGCTGAGATGGCCATCCACGTGCATTTAGACACTCTGAAGAGAGTGAGCATATTTCAGGACTGTGAGCCAGGGCTACTGGTTGAGCTAGTGCTCAAACTTAGACTGCAAGTCTTTAGTCCTGGGGATTATATCTGTCGTAAGGGAGACATTGGCAGAGAAATGTACATAGTCAAACGGGGCAAGTTGACGGTGGTGGGCGATGACGGCTCGACAGTTTACGCTACACTCAGTGAAGGCAGTGTGTTCGGGGAGGTGAGATTTTATTGCTTGACTTCTTGTAATTCTACATCTACCCTATATATGTACAACTATATTAACAACTACTAATTAGGTTTTAATTATTGTAAGTTTTCACAATAAGCTTTCAAATCAATTTAAATTAAAAAAGAAAACTTTACAGCACAAATTGTGAAAATGATAATCTCGAAGTTGTATGCTCACCTTCTGGTCTGTATATATATGTATATATAGAAAGTAAAAATATATATATATACATTATATAGGTCTATATCTATATATCTTTATATATATATATATATATATATATATATATATATATATATATATATATATATATATATATATATATATATATATATATATATATATATATATATATATATATATATATATATATATATATATATATATATATAATATATATATATATATATATATATATATATATATATATATATATATATATATATATATATATATCTGGACCATATATATATATATATATATCTTTATATATATATATATATATATATATATATATATATATATATATATATATATATATCTTTATATATATATATATATATATATATATATATATACATATATATATGCAATCGCCTTAAAATATGAATTGCCTTAAACATAACGCTAACAATATCATGAAAAGACGACGTCAATGAAACAGCTCTGCCATGAGGGTTGGGGGAGGAATAGCGAGAGTGTAGCGTCATCCAGCTCTCACCCACCTCTCCACGTGCTACACGTCATATAAAGCACTCAGGGAAAAAAAGGTTCACTGGTACAGTTAAAGCCCTGGAACCGATCGATTCTTCTCTGTACGTCATAGATCTCCACTACACGCCACTGGTCCAGCTTATCTGTACGTCATAGATCTCCACTACACGCCACTGGCCGAGCTTATCTGTACGTCATAGATCTCCACTACACGCCACTGGTCGAGCTTATCTGTACGTCATAGATCTCCACTACACGCCACTGGTCCAGCTTATCTGTACGTCATAGATCTCCACTACACGCCACTGGTCGAGCTTATCTGTACGTCATAGATCTCCACTACACGCCACTGGCCGAGCTTATCTGTACGTCATAGATCTCCACTACACGCCACTGGTCCAGCTTATCTGTACGTCATAGATCTCCACTACACGCCACTGGTCCAGCTTATCTGTACGTCATAGATCTCCACTACACGCCACTGGTCCAGCTTATCTGTACGTCATAGATCTCCACTACACGCCACTGGTCCAGCTTATCTGTACGTCATAGATCTCCACTACACGCCACTGGCCGAGCTTATCTGTACGTCATAGATCTCCACTACACGCCACTGGCCGAGCTTATCTGTACGTCATAGATCTCCACTACACGCCACTGGTCCAGCTTATCTGTACGTCATAGATTTCCACTACACGCCACTGGTCGAGCTTATCTGTACGTCATAGATCTCCACTACACGCCACTGGTCCAGCTTATCTGTACGTCATAGATCTCCACTACACGCCACTGGTCCAGCTTATCTGTACGTCATAGATCTCCACTACACGCCACTGGTCCAGCCTATCTGTACGTCATAGATCTCCACTACACGCCACTAATGTAACTGGAATTCCCTACATATAAAACCTTTTTGCAAATACCCTTACATGGTAGCTGTAGTAATGATAGGTTTGCATTAATGTTGGTCAATTCTTTAGCGTTAAATTTTAAAGCTACCTTTTTTCTCATAAGGCATGCCTTTACTGCTCGTATCATTTAAAATTAAATATTTAAGGATTGTATTGATAACTGCAATCTGAAACAGCGATGGAAATATTTTCATAAAACTACCTAAAAGTATGTTTAAGAACAAAGATCATTATCAGCAGGGCAAAACTGGATCCTGGCACCACTGTAAAAGACACGTTAAGCGCGTCCATCCGTCGGAGAGACTGCGGCAGTAGCGGCGGTATAAAACTTGTCTCGTTCAGCAGTCGTGGGGCGTGTAGGGGATCCTGGGCTTTGGATGATCTTGTAGAAATTACCAATAGCCGTTTGTATTCGTATAAAACTTTTATTCCTCAACGTATGTATTAGCTATATAAACATTTAACAGGACATTACATTTGAATTTTACATGGATACAATTGGTCGATAATACATATTTTACACTCATGCAAATCAGAGGCGTAGCGAGGGAAGGGCGGGGTGTGCGGACCGCACCAGGTGACACCATTTAAAGGGGTGACACCAGGGCAAAAATTGAAAAATGTGCAGGAAAAAATGCCTTTTGCCAGTTCCATAAATGATTAATTTAAGTGAAATAGTCTTTTAAGTACAAATCGACAACTATTACAAGAGTGGGGGGGGGGGGGGGTGACACCATGACGTAAACGTGCTAACTATAGAAAAAAACAATGCTACATCCAACTGTATTATAAACAGACCATAGATAAACAACATAACTATTAAGTCTACAGTGATTAAAGCCTATACACTTACATGTACGCGTATGTGGCATATGTTTAAATTATAGGCCGACGCACTCATATAGCCTATATATATATATATATATATATATATATATATATATATATATATATATATATATATATATATATATATATATATACTTTGTTTCTTGGGGTGGGGGGTGCCGCACCGGGTGACACCCGACCTAGTGACACCACTGGTGCAAATGAACATAATACTCGACTGCTAACCTGAACAATGCTAGATATTTACTGACGAGTATATTGCATGGGAGCCGTCCAAACATTTTAATTAGAAAATTCTAGTGCTAGTCAGCTACGTTAAGCCGTCCTACAGTTTTACCGTAAAGCTCCCGTAATGCCACCTATCCTACAACCTTACTGTAAAGCTCCCGTAATGCCACCTATCCTACAACTTTACTGTAAAACTCCCGTAATGCCGTCTATCCTACAACTTTACCGAAAACTCCCGTAATGCCACCTATCCTACAACTTTACTGTAAAGCTCCCGTAATGCCGCCTATCCTACAACTTTACTGTAAAGCTCCCGTAATGCCACCTATCCTACAACTTTACTGTAAAGCTCCCGTAATGCCGTCTATCCTACAACTTTACTGTAAAGCTCCCGTAATGCCGTCTATCCTACAACTTTACTGTAAAGCTCCCGTAATGCTGCCTAGCCTACAACTTTACTGTAAAGCTCCCGTAATGCCACCTATCCTACAACTTTACTGTAAAGCTCCCGTAATGCTGCCTATCCGAACCTGAAAAAAGCTGAGCATGTTTACAGTGGCCCTAGAATTTCCCATGATTCAATGCACACTGTGGGTAGAGGACCTCCGGCCATTCTGCCTAGATCTCCTCAATCGTATTAAGCGGCGACCTTTTGGGCTTAATTTATATTGAGAGATAGGAACAAGTTACAGAGGCTGGGTCAAAACCTAGAGGGCGCTAAAGTAACGGGTTATCATTGGGTCAAAACCTAGAGGGCGCTAAAGTAACGGGTTATCATTGGGTCAAAACCTAGAGGGCGCTAAAGTAACGGGTTATCATTGGGTCAAAACCTAGAGGGCGCTAAAGTAACGGGTTATCATTGGGTCAAAACCTAGAGGGCGCTAAAGTAACGGGTTATCATTGGGTCAAAACCTAGAGGGCGCTAAAGTAACGGGTTATCATTGGGTCAAAACCTAGAGGGCGCTAAAGTAACGGGTTATCATTGGGTCAAAACCTAGAGGGCGCTAAAGTAACGGGTTATCATTGGGTCAAAACCTAGAGGGCGCTAAAGTAACGGGTTATCATTGGGTCAAAACCTAGAGGGCGCTAAAGTAACGGGTTATCATTGGGTCAAAACCTAGAGGGCGCTAAAGTAACGGGTTATCATTGGGTCAAAACCTAGAGGGCGCTAAAGTAACGGGTTATCATTGGGTCAAAACCTAGAGGGCGCTAAAGTAACGGGTTATCATTGGGTCAAAACCTAGAGGGCGCTAAAGTAACGGGTTATCATTGGGTCAAACCTAGAGGGCGCTAAAGTAACGGGTTATCATTGGGTCAAAACCTAGAGGGCGCTAAAGTAACGGGTTATCATTGGGTCAAACCTAGAGGGCGCTAAAGTAACGGGTTATCATTGGGTCAAACCTAGAGGGCGCTAAAGTAACGCGTCATCAATGGGTCAAACTTAGAGGGCGCTAAAGTAACGGGTTACTATTGTTGTTCGATGTACCTATTGAGATTGTTTATTTTGCCCAATCACTTCTGACATGTGGTAAAGCGAAAACTTAACCAATGAGTCAAAACTTAAAAATTGACATTTGATGACGAGATCATTCTCACAAACAGCAAGCTAATCAGTCTAAACTAAATCTACTTCACCTAGTCTCATCTGAAAATAATTTGAAGAAAACCAAAGTTAAAGAGAACCAACAATACCCTGGGGTATCCAATCTTAAAGAGTAGCGAGAGAATAATATTGACCCTGACCGTATCTAGGGAGTGTGGATAGCAAAGGTGGGTGGAGCTGATGACAATACAAGAAGCCGCATAAACAAGTCCATGTGAGCCTCTCTCGCACATTTGGATGTTCAGAGCAATGTCCTTTGACGACAAAGTCAGGACCTTCATTTCTAATGTTCTACTCTCTAGTTTAGAGACTTAAATAGTTATTAGAACTAATAGTAGTAAGCTCCAGATTTGTATCAACTACAGTTACAACGTATGTTAGTTAAAATGATGGCATGTAAAGATGTGCAACCTCAACTGACATGAGAGAACCATCGGAAGCAAACATGTAGACCACAGACACCAATCAGAGGAAGAGCTCATACACTCAGTCAACCAGCAGCCGCTGTGGCAAGACAAGCATTGGACTGAGATAGACAAAGAAAGAGAAACGTGGGTAGGCCAAAACAGATTGGCAAAGATCAACCATCAGTGAGCTAAGGCTGTAGGGCTCACATGGGCCCGCCCAGCTGAGAGGAGCCGTCTTGAGTGTGCACATCAACACCGTAAAAAACTGTTTACAAACCAAGTACTTTACTAAACTTGTGTATAACCTAGTGCCGTACCAAAGTGGGGATCCAAGTACCGTACCAAACTGTATACACCTAGTACAGTACCAAAGTGTATACACCTAGTACAGTACCAAAGTGTATACACCTAGTACAGTACCAAAGTGTATACACCTAGTACAGTACCAAAGTGTGTACACCTAGTACAGTACCAAAGTGTATACACCTAGTACAGTACCAAAGTGTATACACGTAGTACAGTACCAAAGTGTATACACCTACTACAGTACCAAAGTGTGTACACCTAGTACAGTACCAAAATGTATACACCTAGTACAGTACCAAAGTGTGTACACGTAGTACAGTACCAAAGTGTATACACGTAGTACAGTACCAAAGTGTATACACCTACTACAGTACCAAAGTGTATACACCTACTACAGTACCAAAGTGTATACACGTAGTACAGTACCAAAGTGTGTACACCTAGTACAGTACCAAAGTGTATACACGTAGTACAGTACCAAAGTGTATACACCTACTACAGTACCAAAGTGTGTACACCTAGTACAGTACCAAAGTGTGTACACCTAGTACAGTACCAAAGTGTGGAAACCTAGTACAGTACCAAAGTGTATACACGTAGTACAGTACCAAAGTGTATACACCTAGTACAGTACCAAAGTGTGTACACCTAGTACAGTACCAAAGTGTGGAAACCTAGTACAGTACCGAAGTGTATACACGTAGTACAGTACCAAACTGTATACACCTAGTATCGCACCAATTTTTTAAATTGCGATCCCCTTGAAAAACCAAAAGAATTTTTGTGTTTTCCCTTAAAAACTAAACGTACTAGACCCCCTTCACTTGTCATTACATTTTTTTAAACGATCACTCTATTCAATGGCAAAGGTGAGAAAACGTGATGTATTCTTAGCGATTGTAATTTTTCATTTGCCCGAGAGTCGACAACGGTGTTTGTTTCTTTAAAAATGATTTATTATAAAGTAAAAAAAAATATCCAAAATAAAAACCCAAATAGCCTAAAAAATAATAAAAATAACTTGTTTTCTTGAAGAACCTGCAATAGGGGAGGTTGTGGTCTATCTACTAAACATATTCCTATAGAGTTGGTGTGTTGTGTCTTATAGAGAGGTTGTGGTCTATCTACTAAACATATTCCTATAGAGTTGGTGTGGTGTGTCTTATAGAGAGGTTGTGGTCTATCTACTAAACATATTCCTATAGAGTTGGTGTGTTGTGTCTTATAGAGAGGTTGTGGTCTATCTACTAAACATATTCCTATAGAGTTGGTGTGTTGTGTCTTATAGAGAGGTTGTGGTCTATCTACTAAACATATTCCCATAGAGTTGGTGTGTTGTGTCTTATAGAGAGGTTGTGGTCTATCTACTAAACATGTTCCTATAGAGTTGGTGTGGTGTGTCTTATAGAGAGGTTGTGGTCTATCTACTAAACATATTCCTATAGAGTTGGTGTGTTGTGTCTTATAGGAGAGGTTGTGGTCTGTCTACTATACAAATTATTATTGGGTTGGGATTGGTCAGACGTCATGTATTATTTAACACGTCTGTAATAATTAATATATGCATGGCCTCTAATGTCAAAGTTAAAACTAAAACGAATTGAGTTTGGCTACATTTAATTTACAGCTAAAGCCGAAATTTGTTATAACACTCTAAAACGTAAAGGCTGTTCCACCACGGCTTACTAGCTGTAAGCTGAAGTCAAACGCGATGAATGTGTTTTTGTGTGCCGTTTTGTCTCATTATAAAGGGCAAAGCCCAGAGCCGGCGTTAGGGGGTGGCGAACGGGGCGGTGGCCATAGGCCCCGCGCTTGAAGGGGCCCCGCGCTTCAGCAATGTCATTGTTATCTGAATCAGTTTGCAAACTTTAAAAATTGTTTATGAATTCAATTGGGAAAAACTAAATGGTCGAATGCCGACGTTGTTGATTGTTATAACTGAAGCCACGTTTGATGTTGGTGAGTCCCACCTGAACTGGGAAAGGCCGTAATTCGATACAAAAACAGTGTCACACCTCCCCTTTGTGTAGGGTACGGTCGCCTGGCATTTGACCTGAGCTGACTGGAGATGGCGGTCGAGAATTAGCCCACGACGTAAAGAGATACACTATTGTATGCGGACCGATGAAGACGTCCTTTTAGTGAGCAGACGGGATGTCTGTAGTAGACAGTTAGTGACCTGATGAACTCTAGTCCTGACTTTCTTGTTGTAGATGTCGTATAATGTCGTATATGTACAGTGTTTCTTCCAGACTTTTTTCTCCGGGGGGGGGGGGGGGCACTTGAAATTTTCGGGGGGGGGGGGGGGGGGGGAAAGCGGTAGAATTTTTTCAGGCCCCCCCCCCCCCCCGAAGAGATGCCTGGAAGAAACTCTATATGTAGGCCTACTTGTCTTGGTATAACAAAATTAACATTCAGTTGCGTGCAGAGGGGTGGGAGGAGGGCGACGATGGGGTGGGGGGCTTAGGATTCTATATCAGGAGGGGGGCATTAAACAGGGTGATTTATTATTATTTTTTGGAAGAAAGTTAAAACTGTTGTTATGTTGTGTCACCTTAAGAATTCACCCTTTCCAAGACAGAATGATTAATTTAGCGAATTCATCCAAATTGTTTTATTCAATCGTCTTCCGATGGTGCTGACATGATATAGTCAGCGAATGGTCCTCGTCGCACAATTTTTGTGGAGGAAGGGGAATCTTTGAAGGCAATGAAGGGTAGTGATTTAGTAGTCATTGATATTCCCCCAATAAACGCGGTCTTTCAATTTATATCTGATACTTTGGTGAACTTTAAAACACGACATTTGTAGAGTGCTTAAGCCATTTTTTTAATTATAGGGAAATCCTTTACAATAGTTTAGACAATAATGATTTTGGTTTTAAAATATTGTATGAATTCCTAACAATTTTTGAAGTCTATACTGTTTTGATACATCAGGCCGAGTTCGCTGTATTGTAAACTTTATTTTCCTAATTATTAAATTTTCTTAAGTGATTTGGTATGAATTACATAACTGTCAAAACTGATTTAATATCTTAGCAAGGAAAAAAAACCTAAGAACGTTGGGTTAATACATGGGAGAGATAAAATTATGTTATTATAGTGGAAAGTTTGGCATTAGCTTATAAACTCCAAAACATTTGTGTTATTATGTGTACATCACATTATATAGGCCTTTATACATACATATATATATATATATATATATATATATATATATATATATATATATATATATATATATATATATATATAATGGAGAGGCCCCGCGCGGATGGTTGGCCCTAGGCCCCGCGTTTTCCTAACGCCGGCTCTGGCAAAGCCAATGGTAACTAGTTTTTTTTTCTTTCTCCAGGTGAGCATTTTAAACATCGCCGGAAATAAGACCGGTAACAGAAGGACCGCAAATGTCCGCAGTTTAGGCTATTCTGATTTATTTTGTCTTTCTAAGGACGCCTTGTGGGACGCCCTCACTGAATACCCTGAGGCGAAGAGAAAACTGATAGAAGCGGGCCGGCAAATTCTGATGAAAGATAATTTACTAGACGAGGAAGCGATGAGGCGGGCCGAGGAAAGGCAAGAAACGATGGACCAGAGGGTGGACAGGATTGATTCGAGTTTAGATAATCTCTCAACTCGATTTGCGCGGCTACTGGCCGAGTTTAACACAACGCAGCAAAAGTTGAAGCAAAGAATGACAAAAGTTGAGAAGGTTTTAGCCAGGGAAGATGATTATGTCTCGAACTATTCGAATGCAGTCAATGTGGCTGAGGTGACGGCAGATGCAAGCAACAGTTAAAGAAAAACTTGACATTGCCAGAGACCAAAAAAAAGATAACTTTCAGTCCATAAGTTGACAGGTACAATTTTATTTTATTTCCACGACAAAACAAGAAGCAATAAGGGACGCTATTCTGTTAGTTGATACTACTCACAGAATGCAGACCTACCCAAGACGCTAAATCCAAGAGCGCTTCAATCACCAAGTCCTGGAAACATGTCTGGGTCAAACAACAAGGACCTTGGTGTGTCCTGACAAGGACCGTGGTGTGTCCTCTAGGACACTCAACAGATGCAGTTTTTATGTATCAGGAAATTGTTTCAAGATTTAAAAAAATGCTCAAGTAGCCAAACGTTTCTCTATTGAGCAGGTCTACTTTATGATCATGTTGTTGTGATCATTGATTTTCCATTGATTCTACATTACAACCACAGTCTTGATGTTATAGATACAGATATTCATGATAATACCAAAAACACAGCAGACATTGGCTAATACAGCATGAAGGATATAAATATATATATATATATATATATATATATATATATATATATATATATATATATATATATATATACATATATTAGATTTGCCAATGCTAAATATACATACTTAAGGGTAGAAAAGTAATGTAATCTAGATGACAAGTTCTGATATTTTCAGGATTATGTTGAAGTAGGCCTACATTGATGTGTCTCACCTCCCAATTAAGTTTACTCACACTGTCAAGAGTAAAACAGAGATTAATAATTTGGTACATATAGATCTATATCTATTACTTTGAACTTATCTTTGTAACATATTTTGAATAGAATGTCTAATTTTTTGTATAATTTATTTTTTGGAGGGTGGGGGTGTCTAGAGCATACAATGCGAAATATTTTTACTTCAACAATAATAGAAGCAGCTCCAAGCTCAGCACTCATGGTTAAGCAGTCAGACACATGAGAAAATAACATACTTCTATGTAGTGTATAAAGAGGAGCCAATAGTAAGCAAAACAAAGTCAGGACAAAGGGGTTTTATTTTTTAATCATCTGTGTAGAGGTAAAGCATAAGCAAGCTAAATGCAGTGCTAATGCACATTCTTTTATCTTCCTACTGAACACATTTGTCATTGTTTAGTTGAAGCTTCTGACTGAATTTAAAGGTTTGTGTGAGATGGTCATTATTTATAGACAGCAGAGACTGAGTTAGTTTAACAAATGTGACAGTTCCCATGTGGCTCTCCATTTATGATGTCACTCAGTTTTAGATGGCTTCTATCCCCCCCCCCCCCACTTACCTTTGTCACCAGACCTCACCCTCAACCTAATTCATATGTCCCAACCCTCCCCCCCCCCATAGCTCTATTGGTTTTCAACTGTCTTATAAGTTAAGACGTTTTTTTAAAGTACATAGGTACTCATTACGATCAGCATTTCAACACTAGGTATGTGACATCATTTATGGATGACCACCTTAAGTTATGACACAGTACAAACACTGACTTAAAATGCTGCAGTTCATTGCTTGTTTTTCCAAAAGAAAGAACTTGATAACTGTTTAGGTTAATCTTATTGGCAGCTTGCTGGCTACCTCTGGTCTAGTTTTACCATTAACTTATTATAATTTTTTTTTAAACACTAACTTAGTTTTCATTTGGGTTATATTTAAATTTGAATACAAAACAAACTATGATAATGTTGAGTGTAATGGTTCTTTTATTTGAAATATACTGCAGTATTTACTGAAGACTAACATGATAATTAGATGCTAACAGGATAAATATTTGGTACAGCGTACCCCAGAGGCGTAGCGAGGGTGGGCGGTAGACCGCACCGGGTGACACCATTTAGTGGGGGGGGGGGGGGGGGGGGGGGGGGACCACAGCAAAAAAATTGCAAAATGTACAGAAGAGAATGGTTTTTGCCAGTTCCATTTATAATTAATTAAAATAAAATAGTCCTTTAAGTACAAAAGGACAATTATTACAAGGGGTTGGGATGACACCATGATGTAAATGTGCTAACTGTAGAGAAATCAATGCTACATCCAACTGTATTATTAACAGACTATAGATTAACATCTTTACTAGTAAGTCAGCATTGATATATATATATATATATATATATATATATATATATATATATATATATATATATATATATATATATATATATATATATATATATATATATATATATATATATATATATACTTTGTTTCTTGGGGTGGGAGGTGACACCACAGGGTGACACCTGACTTAGCGATGCCACTGACGTACCCAAATATATTCTTATTGAAAACTGCACACATTAGGTCCTGTAGAAATATTCAGGGGATGCTACTTACTGTGTAATACCATTTCTACGTTGCTCAATATCATTTTTAATTATTAGGTGTTTCATTGATTTTAATTGGACAAATTAGTGGTTTGGTTGGAAAAGAAAACTACATGTATTTTTCAAAATGGATAACAAGGTAAAATGATTCATTTCCAATTTGGAGTCATAGTTTTTTTAGCAGCTAATTTTCTGTACTATTATTAAGTTGAATTTTAAAGGTGACAAAAGCATCCTTCCTTTATTACAATCTCAATTGTATTTGCTTCTCATACCATTTTTACAATATTTGTATTTAGGTTTTCGTGAATTAATTTTTAAAACTACATTATAAATACATTTCTAATAAAAGATATCAAATTAGTGGAGTGCTAAGGAACTTGCTACATATTATGGTATAAAACATGGGGTAGGTGGTTTATCATTTGAATTGATAGAACATATGAAGTTGCATAAAGAACTATGTCACACAGAAGTTTTTTTTTTTAAATGTTGGTGTATTTTTTATCAAAAGCTCTACAAATCATTTCCTGTTTGATATTTTATTTCCTGAAGAATTATAGAAACTGTATGTTGAATTCTTCAAAAATAGTTTGTGGGTGGTAACATTGGTAGGATTATAGGTCAACTGCTACAAGCTTTTTATTGTCCTGGGTGTAGTGGTAATATACAAGACTAATGTTATGTGGGGTGTGGGTGGTAGGTCAAAAAAAGGTCCTATATATTGTGTGCATAATCTCAAATCTAAAATAACTTTTAAACGCACATTTTTTTGGTAATTTAAAAAGAAATGTACTTGTTATTTACTAATTCAAACCTGATGCATTTTTATAATTTGTTATGATTCACCTTGTTATTTTGTTACATAATAATTTTGTATTACACCTTACAAGGAGCTTTGTTTAAATTTTAAAAATTCACATCTATGAAAATCTGACTTACTGGCTCAAAAATGTAAATACCTGTAATAGTTTTAGTCTTAGGTATATAAGTTAGTCTAATTATTTTGTAATAACTATCAACTTTTGTGTATTTACAATGTCTGACATACAAACATAGACTTTATTCATACACAGACATATATAATTTAATGTAAACATCTGTACCTTCTATAATTGTATATTGAATAAATCTTATGGATACATTGTGATAGTGAGAACTCTTAATTTGTGAACAAGCATGATAGTGATAAGTATTATATGAGATGACAATTTGCAGTAGTTTGCATTTTTAAAATGAAGTGAAACTGAGCTAAAAATATAAAATGCTAACAAGAAAAAAATATGTTGAACATTGGCTGTTCATAAATAATTGTAAATTAACTGTTGAAAGTTTCATACAAAACAACATGCATTTATTAACTTTGTTAACATTTATGAATTGCCATAATGTGCAGCTTGACCTGTTTCTTACAATAAATATATAATGAATTGTATGCATGTGTTTGAAAAAATTGATTATAAATAAGCCAAAATATAAATTATGCATAGTATAATTTCAAATATTGGAATATAAAAACATAGCTTTCAAAACTGTTCTGTATGGTTTTTTTAATTTTTTAAATTTATTAACTTACAATTACTTTCTTATTGTTAATAATAAAATATACTGTTGCATTCAAAATGGATTTTAACTTATTTTATTTGAAACAAAATGAAATAATTACATTTTAAATTGTTGAACATCATAAACAATGCATCTTTTAAACTGAATTTTACAATATGCAAAGTATAGGTATTATGTTAGGTATGTAAAAATCAATTTTTTTTAACACTGTTGTTATTATGTTTATTTATTGTTAAATGTAGAAGTTGCTTGTAAAAACAATTGATAGTGCAATGAAAAATATAATTTCTTTAATCATTATATTGTTGTCTGTTATGGTTTTTTTAGTAGTGACACAAAATGTTCACTAAATAAGTTCCGTATTACAATCTTTTAAATTATTTTAGAATCCACAACATTTTCTGTTTTATGGTTTAAGAAACGACTAATACCTTAAGTTTGACTTAAAATTTAAAAAATACCTATGCAAATGCTTTATATTGGATCAATTTCATTCCAGTGATCAACCCATTTTAATGAAATTGCAGTAGATTTTTTAAACATTTAAACTTAGAGGTGCAACAACACAGATAATTATTGATAAAAGAAGTTTCATTGTTTGAAGTATTAAAAGCAAGTATTTAAATTGCTTTATAAGGTTAGTAATGTGATCTATATCAAATAGTTTTGAAATTTCACTTAGAAAATAATTTCATTAAAAAGATTTTTGTTAATTGCTTAAAAACTGTTTGAAATGATGTTTTGTTTGTTTATGCTTTTTGCTTTATTTAAAGTTACTTAGTTATTCAAAGTTACTTATTTTATATCCATTGGTATTATATTTGGAATAGTATGTATTGCTAGTGCCAAAACTTCCACTTAAAAATAGCTAAATTTTAGACAAACTATTTTTTTAAATGCTTTAAATGAAGAATTGAGAATAGAAGATAATAATTAATGACAAAATATAAACTATATTAAATATGAAATCTAGGACAATGTTTTCTTCAATTTTACATTACTATAATTAAATGAGTTTTTTACTTAAAGAAATGGACTTCAAAAAAAAATTTAAACACAATTCACATTTTTTGAAAAATAAAAAAAAACTAAATTGTAATTCATTCTCATAAATTGCATCCTTGGAAATTTTTTTCTTGTGTCACAGCATATT